ACACTGGTGCCCACTCTTCCTTTTCTACTTTGCCTTTGCGATAATATCCTGCTTGCATTTCTGTGCTTTATTTCCCAGTCTGTAAGATAGACGTTTAGCTGTTTGCATACCGATGTTTAAGAGTTTGTGGGGGTAAAAGGAGCTCTTGTGCAATCCAGTCATCTGATAAAGACTGTCAGAAACCTTGTGCACCTGCTCTCCCACCCCCTGTTGGCGCTCTCATCTTCACCCTTGACGCACGTCTCTGCTGCTTGTGTTTCTACCTCTGTCTCTTGCCGCCGGACTCTCTTGGTACTTTTCCTTGTCTTGGTTTCTTTTTCCGGGACTGTTCCTGCCTTCCTCGTCTCCCTCTTTCTTCCCTGGTGCTGTGCTGTATGTCCTTGCTGCATCTGTCATCCTGTTGCTTTCTAGAACTAGGGATCAAAAAACGCATATCTGAGAGTGTCTGTAATTACCATATGATTTCACTAGATTAGTGAGCATGATGGAGATTGTAGTGAAACAAGATGACTTTTCCAAGCACAGGGCTAAGCCTTTAGGAAGGCTCAGATGAGAAAAAGTCATCAGAAAATGACAGTGACTAGAAAATCTGTATATAAACCTTGAAGTAATTGCAGGAGAGGCAGACATGAAGCTGGAGCCCTGGGGAAAAAATAGATTTAATCCTTATGGCCCCAAGTAGTTATTGATTTAAAGTAGAAATGTAAGATAAGCCAACTTCCATTTTTGAAAGAGTTGTTTGAGTTGGAAAGAATGGATGTGAGAAGTACAAGATCAGAGGAAAGATGTGAGTCTAGAGGCTGTTGCTCCAGTCCAAGAGAGAGATCTTACCAGAGTTTTTGTGTTGGGGTGGAAGGAAATGGACAGGTGAGGTATGGAGAACTCACTAAAAGTCTACTGGATGTTGATGGGCTGCTTAAGTTGAGGGAGGTGGGGAGAGTCATGAGCGGCTCCTAGGTGTCTGCTTGAAGAATGGAGTAATAGTGTTTCATCCTGAGATAGGGAACACTGGGAGAGAAGTCAGATCTGTGTCAGGAAAGATGGTATGTACAATCTTGGAGGTGTCTTGTATTGAGGTTCTTGAAAAACATCCAAATGAAGAGGTCTTTCAAATATCTTCGTGAACGTATTCAGGTACTCAGATGAATGAACTTAGAAGATAAATCTGGACATATGTGTTTTGAAATCATTAAGTTATAGATGGGAGAGACATGAAAGCCTCAGGGAGAGGCTGACTGCTTCTGAGGACATTACAGGTGCCATTTTGATAGCTTGGGAACACCCTCGTGAAAACTCACTGCTAACATGTCTCATTCTTGGGCCAGAAATTATTTCTGTCTAGTGAATCTTCTCTCCATCCCTACAATGTCCCACATTGTTCCCCATCTCTTACAAGCAGTTTTCACTCTCTGCTAACTTTTCACTTATTCTCCTTTCTCTTTTTCTCTGTGTATAACTTTTATGCCTCTCCTCCACTGTCTCTGTCTTCGAGCATTTTTCTTCTCTCTGTTCCTCTCATAATATTTTCTCCACCCTTTAAGTCCTGTGCCTTATTTAATAATCAAGTTTACCTCCTTTCTTCCATGGTGCTCATTTCCATGCCTATATCTGTTCTCTCTAATTAGCTTTCTGTTCCTAATTTTTCAATTTCAATTTAATTTTAATTTAAATTTCAGTCTTTCTGTATATTCTGTCTTATTTTTCTCCCATACCATCAAAGGTCTCATCTTTTGCCA